GCACATGCATAGATAAAGAAAACATGACAACTAAATAAATAATAAATAGGTCGGGTACTAAGGTGCACCCCAAAAGAAAAGAAAAACAGACTGCTGAACTCCTACACATACATAGCTTTAAAGTATTCCAAGAACTATGGTGACCAGTTGATTCTTCTTCTACACCAATCATGTCCCTTTCATCACCGTCATGATTCAAATCCTCTAGGCTCCACTAGGAATCATCGTGCAACGGTTAATCCTTGCTCGTCTTATACCCTAGGCCCTAGCTTTGTTCTATAAAATCATATAGAAGAAAAATTTTACCTAAACGTGCAAAAGAAATGTCAATAGCGAAAGAAAAACAATAACACCACACAAATATAATGACCCTTGTCCTACTTATCTATGCTTATATTCGTTGACGAGCTAGCAAACACCTACAAAAAATATGATAATCTTAAATTATTTAAGTTGTGCCCTTTGTATTTAGTGATTAGCATGATCACCTACAAAAAATAGAGTCATACTAGAAATAACACCCTAGCATCCATTCCATGCAAAGCAAACGACAAGCACATTACATAAACTCATTCAACTAATGAATACAAATGTTAAAGAAAATACATACAATCCACTATTAGCCTAACTTAAGCTAGGTTAGCGGGCTAGCAAGCTGTGTAAAAAGTGAGGTTTGTAACATATGCATTATAGCCTTTATGTCCAAGTTATAATTTGATGTTTTGATTTACTTATTACATTTGGGCAGTTTAAGTTAAAGATAATTGTACAATATGCAAATAATTTGAGTAAACAATTTTAATTTATATTTAAAATTTAATCATTAAGTTATAAAGAGTGTCATGAAAAGTGGGACCCACCTGATCAGGCCCCCCTTTTCATGGCTCCTCAGACTTATAAAAGCAGGTGCCAACAAATTGTGGATTGTGATGCATCACCTTAAAGTCTAAGTGATTTTATTATAAATTATTTTATCTAAGTTACTTGGCTATATTTAAATTTTGATTTAGGTTCTTATTTAAGTCTAATTTTTATTCATAATTTAAACGTTAAATATTTGTTTAACCGCGATTGATCATGTTGTGGGCCTCGAGTGACCAAAAGTTGACCAAAACTAGTTCAATCATGAAAATGCACATAGTACCTCTTAACTCGGGTGGGGAGTCATGAATGTGCTACAAGCAAATTTAGAGTCAATTTTAGATATTTTCATGTTTTTTTGGTTTATATTTTGTTTGACCGGCAGTTGAACCTTAATGGGTGAAGGACAATTAGAGCCAAACAACTTATCTGCAACCCCAATATCACCTCCTACTTAGGTGAGAAGTTGCTTTGTGGGATGAGGAGCCTAATGTTGGTTAAATTTGAGTTAAACTTCACTAAGGTTTAAGCATAACCCTAAGTCAACTAAGGTTGGGGAGATGGCCCCAACCTCTCATGATAAGTTTGATTAAGGGTTATTCATTGCAATCAAATTATAACTTCTTTAATTAATTGATTTTTTTTTAATATATGAAATTAAAACATTAATTAAGCTATCTTAAATTTTGTACTCAAGTGTTGGTTAGATTAATACAATCATTGTGTTATTTTATTAGGGTTCATGGAAGAGTATTTAATAGAGTTTTAGTACTTTAAATTTTAACAAAGGTTGGTTAATTAATTAATTGATTTAATTAGGGTTTATTGAGTCAATTTTTAGATTAAATTATCAAAACCTCAATTAGACCTAATGATCCACTGTTTGAAAGTAAGGAACCCTAATTGGCCTTTGAGTTTACTGATTTGATAAAAAAATATAAATTCAAGGGTTAATTACGCTAATTACCCTATAAAATTAGGGGAAATAATGTAATATGGGATAAAATTAGGGAGAACCCCAATTTAAGCCAAAGATAATTCTAAAAAATATCTTAGAATCCTTGATGACTAGAGAAATCATCTAAAAAAAAAATTGATTTTGGTTTTTTTTAATATTTATCAAACTAATCCTAAATCACCCAAGAGAAGCTGGGGCTTCTAATTTTTTTGGATAGTGCTATGTAAGAGAAGCAATTATCACTCTTTTTCACATATTTTTTTGAATTTTTGGAGAATTATTAATGACTTTTTATAACTTTAGTAATATATTTTTAATTAATTGGCTTAATTATTTACTTAAACCTCCTAGCCAAGTCAGACAATGCTTTACTCATGGCACAAATTGCTTCGCCCCACGATGATGAGAGGTGTGATCCAATGAATATTTGCTTATTTATGTGGCTCTATCACAAACGTTGATCTACAGCCGCAAGAGATGAGCACTGGTGATTTCATCTTCTACCTTCAATACGAGACGAATTCTGTCCAATTCTTTTGATCTTTTTAGTTCAAAAGAATTGGAGGAACCTAAGTTCCTGAGTCTCATGTTGAAGGAGCCCTAGAAACATGGTTTCTTCTATGTATGAAAACTGAAAAGAAGGTGGGGAGAACTTGATGAATACTTTGGGTATAAGAGGAATTGGGTCAATTGTCATGGTTGAAAGCTTCAACAAGAGCTGGCAAAAATCGCTCTTCATACATCAGGGCTTCAACTGCACTAGATCCTTTTGGAGACCAACTTCTTGAGCTTAGGGAGCTTATGTAGAATTTTGGCCTTTAGGAAGCTTGGGAGTAATTTATTTATGTTTAGAGTTGTTTTACCATTGAGTTGGGTTGGGTTTCAATTGTTTCAAATTTTAGTTAAGTTTAGTTTGAGTTTTAGTTGGATATATGTATGTGTGTGAAATAAATTTTTTTTTTGACGCACACACATATCTGCATATCTCAGACTAATAGACATGTCCGCCCTCATGTATGTACACCTTTGTAAATACAGATAAATATATGCATTATACATATACATATAGGTGTATGCATTTTTGTATTAATAGTTTTAGTTTTGTGTTAAATTAAATGTTAGTGTGAGTTTACAAATTAGTTCAATGAAGGTTTAACTACTTGAAGTTTAATTTTTGACAAGATGAAATTTTAAATTAATTTAGATGAATTTTAAATTGATTTTCATTAAATTAAGATTTAATGTAATTTAGGTAAATTAATGATCAAATTTAATTCATCTTAGGTTCAACCTAAGCCAAATCTTATGAAGGCATACTTGAGCTAAACCAATGCACACCTAGGCCAAACTCAAGGACCACCGCAACCAAACTTAAGCCCACCAGGCTAACCTAGAGACTAAGAATGTCAGAGCCCAAAGAAAAGGAATGTGACAAAAAAAAAGAAGCCAAGAATAACATTTTTCAGCTTATAAGATCATATATTTAATGTAATATTTTATATTAATTAAAATATTTTTCACTAGTAAAAATTGTTATGAAAAAAGTTATTATTTTCTTCTTTAGAGTTCAATATGATGGTGGTGCCTTTGGCAAACTTCATATTATTTTCAAGCAGGAAACTACCTTGGTTAAATTAAAAGAAGTTTTAGGTTGCCCAACTGTTTAAACTTATAAAACAAAAGATCTTGTGTTTTCCCAGTTATGTAAACTTAAATGTAGATTGCTCTTAAATGCTATGTTTAGAATCATCATTTAGGGAGGGTGGCACCCTTTTTGAAAAAAAAAACACTAGCTTGTTACTTTTTAGATGCATTAATGAATCACTTTCTCTATTGATAACAATAATTCATTTTTAGTTTTTAATGATGATTGATTTGATAGTTGTCCTTTGAGAAATATTTTTGAAACAATATTTTTAATTGGCTTGTAAATGATAAAATTGATGAAACTATTTTAAATGGTGTTTGATCCCATTCTAATCACACCTCTTTGCTTAATCCTTCTTGATTGGAAAATTTTGTTAAAAACGAGAAAGTTAATTTTATTTTTATTTAAAGTCAAAATGGCTATTTATTTTGATATTTATAATCTATAATGCCAAAATTTGTGTGGCATAAATGATGGATGTTTAGATACATATATTACACATGAATGTCATCACTAAATGGGCATAAAGTGATGGTAATTTCACCACTTGAGTGATTGATAGTAATGGCATGAGTGTTTTATTATCTAGTAGAAATGAAACATAATATAACTTTTTTATGCATATTGTGTGGCTGATAAGAAACCCACTCATATGTGGATAAAATTTTCTCATTGATGTCCATTGATTATAAAATTTAGAATTCAATTCTACTTATGGGCATCACATGATTTAAAAACCCTATTTATCAAATATGAGTGTGATAATTTATAATATTTGATTGGGAATAAATATTGAAATTCATAAAAAGCAATGTTAATAACCTACCTAATTTGTTACAACACATTAAATTCCTTACTCATAAAAACCTCATGATGTGAAACTAGGATAATAATCGGCCTCTAAGCATTTGTGATTTGCTTCAATTTTATAAGGATGAATAGGATGTCTACTTTCCCATTCAACAAGTATTTCACATTTTCCTTTTTTTTAACAGATTGTTGTTGTACTTATCAGTTTTTTTGGGTGATTTTTATCCTCACTTGGATTATTCTACAAGTAATTTTGTGGCTTAGCACAAGCATTTGTTGGACTCTTTCGATTATTCTCAAATATGTCAATAAGTTATTTTGTTGTATGGGCTGATCTTGTGAGTTTTTCCTTATTAATTTGACTTATGATTGATTTTAGATGTTTTGTGGTCTCGTCTCACTACTTAATTTTGACTTGCTTCAAATTTACATTGTTGAATGTTGATGTTTATCAATAATCTAATTATTTTGACATATTGTTTTTTTGTGATTTACCATTTCCTATACCATTGGTACACTAGAACTCCCCCTCTATAATGAATGCTAATGACAATTAGACTCCTAATTGATTATATATATGTAAATTTTCTATTACATATCCTTTATTCATTTGTAGCTAAATTATTATTAGTATGCATTTATTTAGCTATAGTTTTCTTTTTATTCATGACAAAAAAAAAGAAGGTTGGTGAGCGGTTATTTAACCTCACACCGGTCACCGCACTCCGCCTCAGATCGGAAAATTTTGAGAAAAACGCGGATATAGTGTGAAGCAACGGCAAGAGGACCAACGAACGTTTCTCTCTCTCTTCCCCGTGTTCGTACTTCACTTGCCGTGCCCTCGATCCTCTTCGTTGGCGACGATGGTGAGCAGCGCGCTAACTCGTGAACAGTATGTCTACCTGGCGAAGCTTGCCGAGCAGGCGGAGCGGTATGACGAGATGGCCCGATTCATGGAGGATATGGTAAAGCTCACACCTGCTTTTGGAGAGTTCACGGTGGAGGAGCGCAACCTCTTCTCCGTGGCCTACAAGAACCTCGTCGGCGCGCGCCGCGCTGCTTGGCGGATCGTTTCCTCTATTGAGCAGAAGGAGGAGAACCGCCGCAACGATGACCATGCGGCTCTCGTCAAGGACTACCGCGCGCGTATTGAAACCGAGCTCTCCGGTGTTTGCGGTGGGATCCTCTCTCTGCTAGACTCCCACCTTATCCCTTCCGCTGCCTCCAGCGAGTCCAAGGTCTTCTACCTCAAAATGAAGGGGGATTACCACCGTTATCTCGCTGAGTTCAAAACCGGGGACGAGCGCAAGGCTGCTGCAGACAGCACTATGGCTGCTTACAAGGAGGCACAGGTACCAATAGGCAAAGCTTATTAGTTTTTTGTCCTATATTCTGCTGCTTGGTGGAGTTTTGGCCTCGTGCAGGACTGATTGCCCTTTTTTTTTTCTGTTTTTCCTACATGTTTTAGTGTTATGACAGGCTTAACCTGATCTGATGCTCCTTATATTACCCAATCCGATATGGTGTCACCGCAATTTCTAACCTAATTAGCGAATTGAACCCAACTGACCATCGTAAACTATGGTTATCAGAAATAGCATGGCTATTGATATGTATTTAGTTTGTATTATGATTAGTTCCTGAATTATATATTTTACTCATCATAGGTGTTAGTTTTTATTGAGCAATTAGTTCACAACTAAAAGTTTTTAACTTTGTAATGGATAAGAACACGCCTGCTAACAACTGAGTGTTCGATGTGCAAATTCGTCCACATTCAGCGGTATAATTACATATGTATTGTGTTTTTAGGAGATAATAGTATCTTATGCGAAAAATATTTTGTGATTATTTTTTGTATGTTATATTGAATGAATCTCTTAACATATGTATAGCTTACATTCGGGAGAGTGATTTGCATTAGAGAACACCTTTTTGATTTGTGGAAGTTCCCATAATCAATGATTTGCAAAAATCACAATTGCATTTGATGTGTAGATTTATTAGGTGTCCAAAATGAACATGGATTAGTTCTTTAGTTGATTCTAACTACATGTCATGGAGTTTTTTTTATGATGGTCCTCATCTTTAGACTTATCTATTGTGTTCTGGCAGAGAAGACTGATGAGAGAAGTTTTTTTTATTTTTATTTCACCTTGAATGATTGTATTCATTACATTTCAATAATCTCACTTGTTAATACGATTGCAACCTAGAATTATTTCTTAATAAGTTAATATCAATCTTGTCACTTTATTTGTTGAACCTCACTTTGTGGAGCTCTGTTGTTTATATTACCTAATTTTGGACTTTTTTCCCTTTTTGTACTGTGGTTTTGAGATTATTATACTCATGTGGCTCCAGACCTTCTATCTTTTAGGTTCATTGCAGAAAGAATTGGGCAAAGCAAGGAAAAAAAAAAAATTTTCTTTTTTTTTTAAGTGTACTTATTTTTCATGTTTTGACAGGATATCGCTCTTTCACAACTTGCACCAACTCATCCAATAAGGCTAGGTCTGGCTCTGAATTTCTCTGTGTACTACTATGAGATCCTTAATTCATCAGAGAAAGCTTGTGGCATGGCTAAGCAGGTTTGAATTTATTTTCTTCTGATATGAATTCATTATCTGTCTCAAGCATGCTAATCTTGGAAGAAAGGAATTCAATATGCTTTATGGTGCCTTGGATAAGTTGTGATGCAATTAGGAAAGGGCTATTGACATATGTTTGATTCATTTACAGATAGCATAAGAATTATTAGAGATTCTCTCATTATAGATTATATTTCCTGCAGCTAGTTCCCACAAAATGAATGGAAACTTAGTATATCTTTTACATTTATTATGTTAACCTTTCATAGCATAGGCAACATTATGTGTTTACATATCTAACACCTAAACTTCTATTTTTACATGCTTGTTGGCACCTTACCTATGCATGAAAATATGTATTTCACATTTTAAAAAAAATAGTATTATTTTTTATTTGTTATGAAAGATTTGGATGTATAAATGTAAAAGTAAAGTATGGGTGTTAGATATGTAAATACACAGGAATTTGGTGCTATGTATGTGAATGCCACTAAAATATTCTGATGTAGGATGGTCAGGGTCAAAGCTTTCTTATACTGCTAGAATGATGTAATGCATACGAAAGGAGTTTAGGATTCATAAATCACAGACTAATAAATGAATAATTAATTGCCTTCTATGCAAATCAATAAATCTGAGAATTATAAACCAAGAGATACTACAATTATTAAATAAATTTGAATAAATCGACAAAAAAATCAATAAGCAATTTTAATTCATCCAACATGATGAGACTTCGATTAGTGCCAACTTTGAATTGAATTTGGATTAGTCGCTAGTAGTTGATATGATATATTCAAGTCATTAAAGATATGTATACTACAACTGTTACTGGAGTTCGAACAGAAAGAGCTTTAACCAAGTAGTTTCCTATTTCAGTTGAATTACATCAGGGATTGGCTTTAAGCCCTATCTTTTTGCTTTAGTTATGGATGCGCTTATTCGCTTATTGGACATTTATATGAGGATGTACCTTGGTGTATGCTTTTCGCTGATGATATCCTCTTGTGGATAAGACGAGAAAGAGTTTAGGAAAAACTTAAATTATAGATGTCTACATTGGAGTCTATAGGCCTTCGTTTGAGTAAAATTAAAACTAAATGCGTGGAATGTAATTTAAGTAGTAGTAGCTCAGTGATTCTAAAGATGGAGATTTTATTTAGGATCAACATTTTAAAGATCTCTTGTTAAGTAATTCTCAGGCTTAATTTTAGTGAGAATAAAATTTTCATTATTATATTGAACGCATCACCCATGTGCATCGTCAATATTATTATTTTTATTATTGCTTTCTTTAAGCATGCATGTTGCAATGTTTTCAGTGGGTGAGGCCTAAATTATGTAACCACAGTCAATCTTAGAGCACCTCGATAATGTCAAGGGAGAGGACATCATATCATATAAGTTTATTTAGCTACTTGGATACGTAGTAGGTTGCACTTGGAGACTGAGATGGAGATCTTGTTTACTAAAACGTCCTTGTATAGATGAGGACAAGTCTCAGGGGTGAGCTTGGCTCCAATCAAGGAAAAACTGGCAATAGCATTCATGCGGCAACACCTGTCAATAAAGAGCTTGCAAGGCTTTTAATCCTTCTTAGGATAGGGGTGAAAGGTTGTTGTGTTTCTGTAATTGATATCAGCTTGTAGGCACCAAACACAAAACACCCTACTACAAGGTTAGATCTACCCAATGCTTCTTCAATATCACTTGACTCCTTGCAAGCTCTTTTCAAGTGTATGCTATAACCTAATCATCTTGGAGATTATGGAGGTTTTCCATATGAAGTCTTCGATGAGGGAATCTACTAACGTAATGTCTTGTCTCGTAACATGTAAAACAAGTAACACTTAATATATTGGAACTACAAGTTCCTTTCTTGTGATCGCTTGATCATTTTGGAGCAAATGGATGGTATATTTTGACGGGACTGGGGTTAGAGGTACTACACAAATTGAATGGTAATTCCAAATGCATCCTCAAGGAAGGAAATCCTTCGAGTTAACTTATCATGATGATTGTTGGCCAATAAACTAAATTAGAATCTTGATATCATGGTAAAATGATCAACCATTCACATGTCCATGTAATCAACAACAAATAGTAAAGCCTTGATGATTTGTGGTCATCTCTTCTATGTACTTCTAATGGAAAGCTGATGAAACTCTTTCTTCTCAACCTACAAAAAAAATGGGTGAATGACCTGACCTTTTGCTTTTTTGCTTAAGGTTGATCTAATATGTCTTGTTATGACCAATAAGCTTTATGTAGGAAATTGAAAATGCCGTTCTCAAACATGATTATCTTGTCAAAATACTTGACCATGTTAAGGAGCCAATCCAGGAAAACTTTCAAGTCGATCCATACCTTGCATGACATCAGATTCTTCTATAGTGCTGGATGCTTTATTTTTCCCTATTTAATTTTCTAGTGTTTTAAATCTTAGCTTCAAACTCGTGTAAGAAATATCATGCTTATGTTGTGAAGCTTAACTTCGCCACCTTGGGTGTTTTTATTGCTTTCTCTTTGGTTTGGGGGGTTTTAAGGATCTAGATTACAAAATTTTGGAAAATTTTAGATCTTATTGAGCTAATAAAAATCAACTATTTGTATGTAGGATTTTATGATAAATTGATAATATTAGTTTAAATACTAAGAATAGTAATTGGGGATAAAAAATTTAGTAACAAAAAAGTTTAGACAATTTATGGAATTATTCAATTGCAAAATTTAATGATATTTAAGTCAAGCTCTTATGGATCAGTAAATGACTATTCATGGGAAGATTTGTAGCTTTTCACTCTATTTATGAATACTACCGCAAATAATGATAGTGGCAATTGCACGCTACACACAGATTCCTTATGTGAGAAAAAATTAACTTGATTTTTTTTTTCTCATCAGTGATGAAATAAGAAGTCAAGAGTACCCCCAAGAATTTTCAAGCGAGCTAGAAATCATTTAGTAATGTTTTAGAATGCAAAATTTCCTTGACATTATATGATGTGTTGCAGATCAAATCTAACGTATAACACCAATGATTCAACAAATTCCTTTATCATGCTAAGTACACAACTACCATATAATTGCAAGCACAATATGATAATCTCGATGCTAGTTCTAGCAATGTTATTCAATCAAGAACATCCAAGCTTTAGAAAGTAAGAAAAGAGACGTTAAGCCTAGAGAATGATCTGATTGGAATCTTGTAAGAGCTCAGAGTTGTTAAAGCTAACGGGATCTTCCTTGATTGCTATTCTCTAGTCGTTCACTTCACATGAATCTAATAAATTGGCATGATTAAATAGCTTATGAAATCTTTATTCGTTCTGCTTGTTTGCTATATTTTGTTATGCCTTTATTAAAGTGAAATCATTATTCCGTTGCCATTGGTGTTAGCTGAACAATCTTTCTAGGTAAAAATATTGTAATACAGGGATTCCAACAACTGTGCTAAGAAAGTCATTTATAATTGATATATATCAACTAATGCTTTATGGGAGAGCGAAATGCAAATCCCCAGAAGCTTTGATTAATAGAATCGAGGCTCCATAAAGGATAAGACATGAGCAAGTGAAATTTTAATTTTTGAATAACCTCTTTAGGATTATTTTTTGTAGATCGCTCAATCATGCCTGAGGGATTTAAATTTTAAAATATTCAAAATTTAGTCTTTTTAAATATTGTGCCTTTTTCATTTTATTTTTATAAGCAAAATCCTTTTTGTTTCTTTCTAAATTTGATGTGAGACTACAAGTGTGATGAATAGTTAATAGTTTATGAGTGTTTGAAATTTTGTTATTTTTGAAAACGTGAGCTCTAAGAACGATTTGATTAATTTGGTGCTAAATTGGCCTATGAGATTATCATGAAACTTGCTAGAATTGTGTTAAAAAAATTACCAGTTGAGCATCGTACAATTTTGATAAGGCATGCTATGCTCAATTTATCTAATGAAATAGTAGTATTGATTTGTGAGTAAACCTCTTTACGTTGGAATCAATCAAAATAATGAGAACGGAGGTTTTGGGATGAAGTCATGTGATTTTGATAAAAAAAATGAGAGAATAATACAAAAGTTTTTATTTAAATTTCTTGATTTGTGTGTAATTTGATCCTTAAGAGTTTTAGAATTTTTTAAAGTGATGAGTATAAAAATTGAGGGAATCAGTTTATGATTCTGTCAAATAAAAAATCATGCATTTTTCAATAAGAAGGAATAATTTGCAAATTAACGATAATGGGTCAGAGAGATCCTTGAAATTTTGGATTCTCAAATTATGAGTGATTCAAACCTTGTGAGATTTGAATCATTCAAAATAGTGAACATGAAAGTTGTAGAGGACCAAACTATGAATTCATCATTCAAAATCATACAATTTTGATGAGTGTAAAAGAGATATCCTAAATTATCGTGAAATGTTTTTTTAGGGTTATTGGTCTATGAGTGATCCACACATTGTGGGATCATGATCAATACATTTGGTAATCATGAAAGTTATTGAGAATTATATTACGGATCAACTATTCAAAAATCATACAATTCTAATGGCGGATGTGGAAGGTAGGTTCAAATTATTGACAAGATTCTATGTGAGTTTTGTATTTTAAACATGTATGTGATTTTTCTTACTTGGAAGTTGCATTTTGCATGCCCACTAACCAATTTGGCCTTGACAAAACCGTAACCCTCGTTAGGGCTGAACTTTTTTTCCTTGCCATTAAATGGGTTGTCATACTTTTTATTAGTTAGTGTCACACATGCCCATGGCCTTATGGAAATACTTCATCTTTGAATATGTACTAACAATATTAAATTCCTTAGCATGGAAATACTTCATCTTTGCATATACATTAACATATTAAATAGATATAACAACATTCAAAGAGAAGATTAATTGTGTAAAATTAGAAATAGCATGTTAATAACCTAACATCAAACTAAGAAATAAAATGGGTTATACAAACATTAAACTATCAAAATAAACTAAGATATTGAA